TTTTTTTTTTTTTGTACTGAGGATTGAACTTAGGACCTCATACTTGCCAGTCAGGTACTGTGCCACTGAGCTAAATTCCTGGCTAAATGGGTGTTCTTAAAGAATGTGTATTATGTGGTTTTTAGGGTTTATAGGAAGAATAAGGAATAAATTGAAATAATAAGACCTTATCATTGAGGATTGTTTTCAAGTACTCTGATGGTTTTTCCTCTCCTAGAACACAAAAGTTTAAACAGTTTCTCAATGAGAGTATAAATCAGGGTTTTCAGCGGGATAAGTAGAATGGTCATACTGATTAAATCTCTTGGGAAAGTTGACTAGGTCTTTATATGAGTAACACCTCACATTTGTTCAGTGCAGCAGGTTATATTAGGACAGTGGTTCTCAAATTCCAACATACATCAGAATCACCTTTGGGGCACAAGATTGCTGGGCTTTACATCTGCTGTTTCCTGTTCAGTAGAGTCCTGGGGTTGGAGTCTTATAATTAGCATTTCTAACAGGTTTTTGGTCCAAAGATTATACTTCAGATATCTAATGCCCCGAGAGAGTAAGTGATTTACTTAAAAATATAAAGCTGGTGGATGGTACTAAGCTAGGGCTTGAACTCAGCCCTTTGCACTGGAAATTCAATGTTCTTTCTGTTCTACAGGTTTTTTTTTAATTGAAAGACAATTAGAGGTAAAAAAGACAAATATTCTTGCAGTGTTGTGATTCTCAGCCTGATGAATTTGTGCACAGCCCCAATATATTTTTGCTGTAGCCCACTTTTAGATAATTTTATTGTTTGTGCCTGTGCATGTGCTTAGGTCTCCAGTGTATCTGGAGGTGGGAGAGACATTGAATATAGGTGAAATTGGACCTTGAGTCTGGCATATCATGGATAGGGTTAGTATCATGTATGGTATCTGGCCATGCTCTGCCCAGTAGGAGAAGCTAGATATCTGAGTTGATGATGGTATCCAAAGATTTACTTTTCTTTTTCTTTTGGTACCGGAGTTCGAACTCGGATCCTTGTGCTTGCGAAGCAGGAAGCAGAACCACTGAGCTAAATCCCTGGCCCAGATTTGCTTTTCTAGCATGTCTGCTTATTAATGTGACTGTAAAATACAGAAGCAGGCTGTGCTTACAGATGCAGAATGTTTGCCTGGGTTTAGTTATTTGAAGTCTGTGTTACATGAAGTGAAATAATTTTGAGTACTAAGGAGTGTTTTTCTCATTTGCAGAACACTGGAGATGACCAGACTTCCTGAGTAGAGAGAAAGCTTATGTGATCTGTTACCTTGGGGGACAATTGAAGAGATTATTGACTGAATTGTTTAGAGCTCCATTCATTTTGCAAAGAAGAGTATGTTTTTCTGCTTAAAAACTTTATTAAAAAAAGGAAATAAGTTTCATATTAATTTCATTTCCTTTCTAGTGGCTGGGGCTAGAGAGTATAGTATCATCAGAAACGTTGTCAGAATTTGTTTTATGGTATACATGTGTATACATAGCAATGTAATACCAGTATATCCCAAATTAATGTGTTCATTTACATATACAACAGATCTTTACAATTTGATTGATAGCACATAGGATGATGTTCTTAGTGTGTTTCATAGTTCTATGTGTTTACATATTATTTCTGTCTCTTATTTTCAGAAGTAAGGCTTTTTTTTGAGGGGAGGGGTGGTACTGGGGATCGAACTCAGGACCTCATGCTTGCCAGGCAGGTTATGCTGCTGAACTACTTCCGCAGCCCAGAAGTAAATTTTGATTCTTTTGTAAATGTGAGCACTTTGGCCTATATATGAGTTAGAAAAGTTAGAAGTAATTTTTCATTTTCAGTATGTCCTTTATGGTGAAATACAAGTAGGTAAAAACCAAATTCAGGTCATTAATGTTGACTGGTTTATCTTGAGGTCAGTAATCTATAAACAGCATGTTCATAGTTTGTTTAAGGTATAACTAGGGATTGCTGTTGTTTTATTTATTTTAGGGAAAGTATAGTAGGGTTTTACTTTGGAAATCCTTGGAAGCCCTTCAGTGGTGTTTGGACTAATAAATCTTTTACCACTAAAAGAATATTATTCTTATGGTAATGAGAATAATCTTTTGAATACTTGGCAAAATAAATGCCTAAAAGAAATTTTGTTTTATGAATCTATTTTTTTCTGCTCTAATGAGGATATTGTAAATCATACATTTGTATTAATGGTATTTCTTAAAGCAATATATGTAACTAAACTAAACTGATCTATAAACTGTAGGCATTTGTAAATTCTGTTGTAAGTACTATAAACATTGTTAGAGTCTTAATGGTCAGATTATGTTGTGAATGTATTGTTAAAATATTTTAGATGTTTTGTTAAATTGAATAATGTCTATTGGAATAGTAACTTGGAAAGTGCATAACTTTATATTTGTATAAAGCTCTATTATTTACAAAGCATTTGATGTGTGTAATCTCATTTGGCCTCCATGCCTTAGATGAGGACCTTCCAGCTATTAAACAGTTTGTCCAGGGAAATATAGGTCACAGGATATCTGTGGAATATAAACAGGACATGTAACTATTTTTAAAGGAAGTATTTGTCTCAAATGTCTTTTCCTCCCTTTAGAATCATTAATTTATTAAGTATTTGCCATTTTATTTATATTCAGCTGTTACCCTCTCTGGGAGAAAAGTTGGTAATGCATTAGAGGAATGTTTTTAATTAATTTGAAAGTTGTAACCTGTTTATTTAGGGTTGGGAGTCTAACAGGGATGCTGTGGTATAGTTAGTTATCAGGTTAACTGTGTTGCTTGAATCTGCAGTCCTAAACCAAAAATTACTTGAATTTTGGACTTTGCCTCTGGCAGGATCTACTTCTTAAGAACAAGAATGGGAGGCATTCTCATCCCCTCCCTGCTTTTCCTTCCTGCTGGCTGAAATGTAGACACAGTAGCTGGAGCTGCGCCATTATGGAGGTCCCTTCTTGTGAATGGCAGAGAAATGAGGTAGAGATTGTCTGAATCCCATCTGGTGGGTAGAATGGCCCTCAACTTCCTATCTGAACTTTTACATGAGAGAGAAGCAAATGTTCATCCTGTTTGTTACTGCTTTGGCTTTTCTTATTCATAGCCTAACTGAATTATTATCAATATAACACACTTGGAGCATCACCTGTAGTTCTTCCCTTTAGTGCAGCATTTGAGATACAGTAATTTAGTAAGGATGCACTTACTATTATCTTTTTTCTGTGTAGTAACTGTGTGACTGTTATAGGTGTTATTGAGCTCTACTCTTCAGATGCTCTTGCTGCATAAAAATTCACCCCAAAAGTTACTGATGTGAAATAGTCATCTTATTTAAGTGCTCAGAAACTCTGAGACAGAAACTTGAGTGGAGCCGACGGGGGACAGCTTTTTTTCTGCTGAACAGTGTCTGGTACTGGGGAAGACTTGAAGGCTGGGTTTGACACTTGGGATGTCTTCAGCTTCAGGCCTGGAGGTTGGAATAGGCTGTTGTCTGGGGCCTCAGCTAGCTGCTGGTCTGAATGCCTGCAGTGTGATCTGCTTCACTACCTGGTCTTGCGTTGTTACAGTGGACCTCCCAAAGGGGAAGAGGGAAGTGCATGGCATTTTTATGCTTGGTCCTGGAATTCACATCACCTCTCTTCTGCCATACTCCATTGAAGGAAGCAGTCACCAGATTCAAGGACAGCATATTCAGACCCACCACTTGAGGAGTGTTAAGATTATAGTTAAAAAAATTAAGGATATATGGGATATAGATAGTGCTGTGGCGATCTTTAGGAAACAAAATTTACCCTACCTTCAATTTCATAGCAATTGAAAATATTTAGAGGAAACTGAGGGTAGTAAGTTTTTAATCTACCCTGGGTCAGCCTCAGCTTTAGAGAAATTGACTAGAAGGTCCAGTTAATATGAAAGCAACATTACATTCTCTAGCCATCAGAATAAATAGATGGGTGGAAGTGAAGGTATAGTAATTCCACCTTAGTGTAGGTGTTGTGGTCCTTCTGAGTCTCTATATTCTTAGAGTTTACTGGAGTTCCTTTAGGTGTTACCTCATTTGAATCTCCTCATCCTCAAGAGGGAGAAAGGACCATTTTCTGTACCATGTTACATCATGCTACGGATGTGTAACTATGGTTGAGAAAAATAAATTTATTAAAGATTGTAATAGAAAGAGTAGTGCTTACCAGGTATTCCATATTCTAGTTGAGGCTATGGTGTTTGTTAGCTGTGGCCACTGAAAAGTGAACGGAGTGACTGTTGTCTTTTGCATGAAGAATGTGAAGCTCTGATGTGAGATTTTCCAGCCTTGCATTCCCTTTTGTGGCAACCAGTGGTGGTCGGGTGTTAAGATGTTAGGTGTAAGTCAGCTAGGGATTTGGGTGACTTGTAAAACAGAATCTCTCTTATGTATTCCAATTGGACATACTGCTGCCAATTGCCAGTCTTTGCCATTTTTAATCTCCACATCTGTTTTTTGGGAAGGAGAAAAGATGGTCTTATTGCCTCTGAGAAGAAAGTTTTCTCAGAAATTAGAAGATTTTGCTTCTACTTTCATGTCTTTGGTCAGGTATTTGGGTAGACACATTGCTACCTTGAATAAATAAGATTTTGTTATTTAGGTAGAGGGAACGTAGCAGGATCTACCACATACTCTTCTGATTTCTTGGAAGGTCAGATAGTCTTGGTGTGGTGTGTCATGAATCACTCCATTTTGGGTTTGGTCTTTTGGGGCCTCATCTAAGAATTCAGTCCAAATCAATAACACATCTTGTTCTTCATGTTTTTCAGATAGTTTTAAAATCCAGCAGAGGTATCTAATCAGTCTTAACATTTTAGAATATTTCTTGTAGGCTAGTGGTGGTAAACCTAGGGAAGGTGTGACATGGGGCATGCAGAGCCTTCTCTGTTGGCACGAGAACCAAGTCACCCCAGCTGTCATGCACCAGATAACAGTTGTTTTTTCTAAACTAAAGCCTCAATTTCAGGTTTAATTGTGCTTTATGATAAAGTTTGGGCCCTTGGTCTCTATAAAAAGTTCACCATCACTGCTCTGGGATATTGCCTTTCTCTGTAAGCTGCATTTTCTTCTTTTGTTTGTAACTTGCACCTAGTCCACTAGATGGCAGTACACCAACATGGGATATAAATGATATCTACTGTAGCACCCCATCTCCTTGGTTTCATGGGAAATGATGGTTTTCATCCTAGCCTGCAAATAGGACTAAATTCACTTTTCCTCCTTTGTAGTAATTAAAATCCATGCTTATGAACACATAGATGCTGAATAAGTAGATACACTAATAAAGTACATGTTTGAATAAATACAATGATGTATATCTAATGTATAGACACCATGGTAGGTATTGGAGATACAAAGAGACATAGGGGCTGTGCATGATTTGTAACTTCCTGATATTGCCAAATCTCCCCATTTAATATTTGAAAAGACTGGAGTTGGAGAGTCAGTAGCTTTCTAGGTTTATAAGTGGAGAGAAGTGAAGCCAGGAATTTTTGATGGTGATGGAAAGACAGTGAGGTTGAATTTAAGATATGTTGGGTGTGAAGCCAATGGGTCACGGCAGAGTAGTAGAATATAAGGGAAACCTAGAATTCAGCCTTAGGATTGGGCTAGAGTTACAAATTTAAGAGGTATCTCTGTAGAGCAGAATTGAGAAATGAAACAAGAGATAGTTGTTTGTAGCAAAAGTGTCTGTTAATGAACCAACAGCTGAAGTGTAATTGCCAAGGAACAAGGGGTTTTGGGGTACACACATTGGAGACAGATCTGAGGTTAAATCCTGGCTTAATGTTTACTAGCTGTGTGTTCTTGGGCAAGCTGTTACCCTCTTTGACCCCTTGTAATGACTACATGAGGGAGATACTATTTCCAGAAAACAGGCTTAGAGATTGTAGGAAGTGATCCAAGGTCATGGTGCATCTAGTATAGGATGGATCTAAGATTCAAATCTGAGAAATCTGCCTTAGACTTATCTGCTAAGCACAAAGCAAACAGTGTCCCCAATTATACTGTAGCTGGTATTTTCAGTGTCCTTCTAATCAAGTTTTACACACACATGTATGCATGCATATGTGTGCACACAATTTATTTCAAGGCATTGATATGAAATATGATTGTAGAAATTGACAAGCCCAAAATCTGCAGAACAGGTGGCAGACTGGCTTCTCTGACAACTGGTGTTGTAGTCTCAAGGTCAGTTTTCTTAGGAATATCTCAGATTTGTTAAGACCTTCCGCTGACTACATGAGACCTACCCACACCATCAAGGGTAATCTCTTTTACTGAAAATGAACTAATTATAGATGTTAGCCATATCTACAAA